ATGCGCAAAACGAGAGTGAATCTTCAGCAAGAATATGGAAAGATACACGGCCATGACTTTTGTTTTTTGTGCATGTCGAGAGTAGTGCAGGGAGGCCCTATGTACCAATTTATCAACTTCCTACAGGTCGATGCTTCCTACATCATCTGGAAAAGAAAGAAAACCTGAAACATGTTATGCACATGGGATTTGGACGTGCATAACATGTTTCAGTTTTTTTTTTTTTTTTTTTTTTTTTTGCTGGGACCTTCCCTGGTCCGTGCATGGCTGGGCGGCCTGCGAAAACAGGGTGACCCGGGCAGCCCGGCAGGTAGCCTAGAACCCGACTATATTTTGGGCCATTTCTTTTTCTTTTTCGGCGAAGTTATGATCAAACTGAAAAAAAAAGAAAACGAAAAAAACTGAAGTTATGATGGGACCAGGGTAACCGGCATTCAGGACGGGGCGAACGCCCGAACCCGAACGCCCGAAACGTATGGGACCCCTTGGGGGGCCGAACGCGGACCCCCCCCCAAAAAAAAAGAAAGAAAAAAAATCGAAAAAATCTGAAAAAATTATGTGTTATGAAGAAAAATAAATTAAACAAGATTTGCCCGAGCATAACATCCAAATTCATTACCAAATTTGAAATAAAAATAAAATACAGAGAACAAATACTAATAATAAAAATAACAAAAAATAAAAAGAGAATTAAATTTAGTGAGTGTGAGAGCTCGTCGACGCCGCCATCTTTGGCGATTTTTCATTTTGTTTTGGCATAGCTAAATGCCCTGAAAATTTACAGATGTGTACTTTACATAATGCAAAAACCCACTAAAAAAGTTTCAAAAAATAATAAAATTGTTTAGACCCTGAACTAAAGTGAAAACAAAAAGTAAAAAGTGAAAAAAAACGTGGGCGAGCACGTTTTGGCCCCGCCATCTTTGGCGATTTTTAATTCTTGTTTGGCTGAGCCAAATGAAGTCAAAATTTATAGGCGTGTACCTCACGTCATAGAGAGCTCACAAAAACAAAATCAGAAAAAATATATATATTTTTAGGTCCCGAAATATTTTTTGGCGGGGGCCGAACGCCGTCGGGTTCGGACCCCGTACAGGACCCCGAACGCCCGTACGTACGGAGGTCCCGTACGTACGGAGGTCGGCCCGGGGACCTCCGTACGTACGGGCTGGTGACCCTGGATGGGACTATATTTTAGACCATTTCTTGATTTATGCGTGTCGTCCTTGACAGTGCAGGGTCCATGGTAATCAATCTTTTTTTTTTTTTTTTTTTTTTTTTTTTTTTTAAATCAATCTTCTCTGTATGGTGTCAATTTTTAACAGACGTATGTGGAGGACTGCCTACATAGATGGAGAGGTATACGGATTTCACAGAAAGAGGAAGAAGAGAGCATTGCATTTTTTTCATCCATGATCTGATCTCAAGAATGGAACACGCGACCTCCCTCATGGGAGTTGCATGCTCAACCAAACGGCTAAGCTGACTGAGAGAAGCAGAAAGAAGAAGAGAAAAAGAAGAAGAAGAAAGAAGAAAGAGGACTACGACAACGACGCCGCCCCGGCCGCCGAAGAAGAAGAAGAAGAAGAAGAAGAAGAAGAGGAAGAAAGCAGAAAGAAGAAGAAGAGGAAGAAAACAGAAAGAAGATGAAAGATGAAGAAAAACAGAACGAGGAAGTAGAATACCTACAAATAGTGGCCAAACTGCTTTCGGTGCGAGCTTCTCAAACTCTGCAGTGCAAATCCGTACGTACAATCACTCAGCAATGCGTACATTCCTCGACGCTGCGTTCATCCTCAGGAGGCACCCCCCCACATGGACATGGCTTTCGAAAGAAGAAGAAGAAGAAGAAGAAGAAGAAGAAGAAGAAGAAGAAGCAGTGTGGTCATCCTCAGGAGGCACCCCACATGGACATGGCTTTCGAAAGAAGCAGAAGCAGCAGCAGCAGCAGCAGCAGAAGAAGAAGAAGAAGAAGAAGAAGAAGAAGAAGAAGAAGAAGAAGCACAGGAAGAAGAAGAAGAAGACGAAGAAGCAGCACAGGAAGAAGAAGAAGGAAGAAGAAGACGAAGAAGAAGAAGAAGGAAGAAGGAAGAAGGAAGAAGAAGAACAGGAAGAGGAGTGATAAACAGAGGCCATAGACTCTGTCCTTCGTGCATGCTTGGACAAAAGTTCCATGCTCAACCGCATGCAGTGAGCTCAGAAGAAACGCGCTCATTGCCCCACGCACGCACGTTTCATCCAGGAAGCGCACCTGGCACTCATCTTCAGGATCCGCCTTCTCCACGGATCCGCCTTCCGGCACGGTCCCACCTACTTGTCCAGCCAATGAGCAATGAGGGCCAACGGCCTTGCCCTCAAATGAGTACAGATCGCCTACCTATGCCTAGACTCTCCGTGCGGCGTTGTCGTCCTACTCAGTAGTCAGTTACAAGCCAGCATTGTGTCGCAACAATTTGAACTTTGCCCGCCTCATTTCATGCTTCTACGCTTTTTCCCGCCTGCAGATATTCTGAAGTAGGGCCGGGTAAGAGCCAGTAGCCAGTAGAGATGACTGGGAATTTCCCCCCGGGGACATACCGACATCCTACGTACTACCATCTATAAGCGGGTACTACAAATTTCAAATTACGGGCCATATGGGCTGATAGCTATTTCTCGAAAGATCTTTCCAAAAAAAAAATATATATATATTTCCAAGCCTGCTAACAATTTCCATGCCCAGATCAGTACCTGTGTGCCCGTATTTGAATAGGACTACAGGGGGTCTCGCCGCACGGCACACGAAACGAAAACGAAACGAGTGCATCTGCCCACCGAAGGTGGCAAAATACTCTCGTTACTATTTATAGCAAACAGATGAACCTGGCCATTTTCCTGCGGGAACATACATTCGTTTCGTCTTTCGTTTAGTGTGCCGTGCAGCGAAGCCCTAAATCATGCACGAGTGTCCAGGCCGGACTGGATCCTACTCCACCGCTATCACAAAGACAATGCTGTTGACGACAACTGGCACTATATACGTGTCAGCTACCGGTCTGTAAAGTGCTATCCCATCCATCCATCATTCGTGGAAAGTTTTTTTATTTTTTTATTTTTTTATTTTTTTTTTACATTCGTGGAAAGTTGAATTGCCCAGCTTAAACTTTCATTTTCTTCAATACCTTTCTCGGCCTTTTGGCTAAACGTAGATCAAGTGCACTGTATCTGTTCAGATCAGGTTTTTTTTTATTTTATTTTTATTTTTATTTTTATTTTTTTTATCAGTTTAATATCTGATCCGTGGTAAATCGGACCACCCAAAAAAAAAAAAAAAAAAAAAAAAATCATTTYTTTCCCSCCAGTACACTTCACGCCAATGCGGCGGGTATGAACTGACTTCAGGCTACGCATCACAGCGTGCCTGCGGCTACATACAGACCCTAACTAACCACCGAAGAAATACGAACGTTCCACGAACGTTCCAATTCCAATCTAGCCTACACAGCGCGCGCTACATAGGCCACATAGGCTGGCTATCCCCCCCGGAACTACAGTTTGCTACTCACCAGGAGGACATTTGCATGCTATCCCTACCGGTAGCGGCCGTAAACAGATGCGCAGATAGTACGCCCAAAAACAAGCGAAGTGCAAAAACGATACAGTATTTCCACGACTGCGACCGAGATAATATCATATTTTACAGAGTTCTTCGGAAGCTATACAAGGCTACTAATGTACAATCCCTACCGGTAGTTAGGGTATTTACAGAGGCTTGAACACCCGTTGTAGTCTTGACACTCCGTGCCAGTAAACCAGGCTCTCAGATAGCCTTTTCCATGGCTCCCTGAGAGAGTACTGGTGCCCTAAGCAAACCTCGCTAAGGCTGAGAAGAAGAAGAAGAAGAAGAAGAAGAAGAAGAAGAAGAAGAAGAAAATGTGGAGGACTACTGGCATAGATGGAGATGGGTCTCATTTTCAAGAGAAGAAGAAGAAGAACACGTGAAGTGAAACTTACTCCAGACAGCAATCTGTCCGTCGACACCGATCCAAGGATCGAACACGTGACCTCCACGTCAAGAGGCAAACACTCAACCAAACGGCTAAGTGGACTGGGGTCAAAGTTAAGCCCCAAGAAAGGGATGAGTGTAAAAGGTGAAAGATGACGTGGCCTTTTTGTGGTTATGATGGCAATTACTCGCTCGTTCAATGAAGTTTCGCGAGTGGTTTTTCAGATCAGAATGCGGTTTTTGAGAGAGAAAGGAAAAACGAATATTCCAGTACGGCCTGCACAACCCATCACCAGCCATGACTAACTCCCATGGACGAAGGGCCGCGCCGTTGCACTAGAAGTGACCAAATGAGCAAAAATGACGAGTGTATCTTCAACAAAAGGACAGAAATATACACTCGCCAAAATGTGCAACAATGGGGAGTGAATCTTCCGCTATAAGGTGGAAATATTCAATATTCCCGCGCCCACCAAACAATCGTGTTTCCGCTTTCCATGAACGCTGCCTCTGAACTTCTGAACTTCTTTGTACTCCTCCTGATCTCACTCGTTCCCGCCAAAATTTATTTTTTCTTTTTCTTTTCAATGGGTGAACTTCTGAACTTGTTTACTCCTGATCTCACTCATTCCATGAACGGTTCCTCTCTCTCTCTCTCTCTCTCTCTCTCTCTCTCTCTCTCTCTCTCTCTCTCTCTCTGATATATATATATATATATAGTCACAAACAGAACTGCCCGGTAAACCGTAGGCAGAGAGAGACAAGAGGACAACAAACGAGGGGCTGTGACAAACTGTTTCGTCGGAGTTTCACCGACTCATCAGGAGGCTGAACCCTCATATATATATGATATATATCGTCATATATATATATTTATCGTCACAGAGTTGTCAGAGCGCAAAAGCGGAAAAAAACAAAGCGAACAAAAAAGATATCAATTCAATTTTTTTCTTACTTGTATATATATAAAATCTCACTCGTTCCCGCCAAAATCTCTTTTTCTTTTCAATGGGTGAACTTCTGAACTTATTTACTTCTGATCTCACTCATCCATGAACGGTAAATCTCTCTCTCTCTCTCTCTCTCTCTCTCTCTCTCTCTCTCGCTCGCTCGCTCGCTCGCTCGCTCTCCCTCGCTGTGTATATATACATACATATCGTCACAGAGTTATCAGAGCGCAGAAGCGAAAAAAACAAAGGGAACAAAAAAGATATCAATTAATTTTTTATCTTTATATATATACATGTTGCTTCCCTTATTTTCGTATTGCGAATCGGTAAACTCCGATGTTGTGTGCGCCCCTTTGTTCTCTCTCTCTCTCTCTCTCTCTCTCTCTCTCTCTCTCTCTCTCTCTCTCTCTCTCTCTCTCTCTCTCTCTCTCTCTCTGATTTCATGTTGCTTTGCTAAGTTGTTTTCAGTATTGTGAATCAGTGAACTTCCGAAGTTGCGTGCGCCCCTTTGCGCTCACTCCCTCTGAATGCTGCTGCCCCCTTTGGCCTGTCTCCCTCTTTCCGCAGGCCAATTAACTTGTGCTTCTGCTGCTGCAAGCTGGGGTTGAAGAGCCATCGCCATCCCCCTTCTCTCCTTCTTGGTCACTTGCCCTTGCCCGATTGACCGACCTCTGCCCCCGATGATCATCCTGATGCTGTTCTCTTACTCTCGTTCCCAGCTTCTTCTCATCTGCAGAACCCTGGTGGTCCCCACCCTCGTCCTCCTTATCGACCCGCTGAATGTCGGCCGCCGCCGCCGCAGAGAGCATTTCTGTGCCTATTCCTTTCCCTCCTGCCTCATCATTGCCAACGCTACCCGCATGGTACAAACCCACGTGGCCATGTTGATTACCATCATCAAACGAGTCACCATCGTTTTTGTTGTCGTCTGCAATTTCAAAAGCTGCACTCCTCTGCAGCGCGGCTATGCGGAAGGCTTCCGCAATGGCTTGCAGGGGCAGAGCGGTGTCCTCTTCTCCTGCCTCATCCAACGGTGGAGGGCGCACGGTGAGCAGCAGACCAGCCTTTTTCCCGCGACTGCTACTGCTGCTGCTACTTGCGTCATCATCTGGAACGTTCATGTTGGTGTTGGCGGGGTCGTTCCTATACAGGGGACCGCGATCAGGCGATCTTCACGTGATTGGTCAAGCGAAGGATCAGTTCGAACTTCGAAAGAGGCCACGTGGCTCGACGTGGTGGGGTTACAGGGGGGAAGAATACGTCCGGTCAGTATAGCAGAATTTGGTGCAATTTCATGTCTAGATACTGCGAACCCCGCCACGTGGCTTCACGGGAAATAGAACGCCCCGTCAGAATAGCTGAATTTGGTTGCAGTGGTCGCCTGTATAGGCTTTTAGGAGTAGTGGTAGGGAGATAGTGATGCATCACACACACACACACACACACAGAGAGAGAGAGAGAGAGAGAGAGAGAGAGAGAGAGAGAGAAATGTCGAGTAGAAAGTTGAAGGTGAAAATTCCAGCTTAGATGACCAGGCGACCAAAAAAAAAAAAGAATTTGCTGGAATTTTTCTTTTTTTTTCTTTTTTTTAAAAGGCTAATTCTACCTGTCAAGTGTGGACAGGACGGCCTTTCAGGCCTTTTTTTATTGTCATTATAGCATTAGGGGGAACCCCGTAGCAGCCACATCCGTGCTCAAGCCTCCAACGAGGGAACATGCGGGAGCTGCACCCACCAGCAGGTGCTATACCTGCTACAGCAGGTGGGCGATACCGGCCAGGGGTCAGCGGGTAGCATCAGGACCGAGCTTCTTCGATGGGCCAGTCACTGTGCCTCCCCTCCGGTCCCCTCCCCCTATGAACATCAGCAGTCTCTGCTCAATGCCACTCGGGGGACCTACGGCATATCTCTAAGTGGTGGGCGCCAAGCTTGCCCAGAAAGGTACATGAGGCCAATGGGGATTGAACCCAAGACCTCCTGAATGCCACTTGCATGCCTTACCAACTGAGCTAGGCCGCTGGATAATTTGCTGGAATTTTCAGTCTAGATACTGCGATGATGACCAGGTGCTCTGTTCGGGTGAAGACAGTCACCCTACTAGATCAATTGGCGGATCAATTCGCCAGTTGGCAGCGGTCCGTAGTCTCTGGACTTATATAGGGAGCAATCAGCCAGAGGGTGGCAAGTGCATGTGGCCATGTTCTAGCGGGAAGTTCATTCTCATTTTGCACATTCCGACAGTGGTGCGGGAATGCCCTAAATTGGCCGTACCACTGTGGAAACCGAAAAAAGTACGGAGAAGGCCCCCTAGAATGTTTTTTTGTACCGGGGGCAGGTCGCACTAGCAGCTCTGAGTTTTTTTTTTTTTTGTTTTTTTTTTGCCGCGTGGGAAAATAGCGGGCCTCGGGTAGGAGTCCTACCTTTTCAGAGGCCGAAACGAAATGACGGCCGCCCATCAGATTTATCAATGGCAGTCTTCGTCGGCCCCGAATATTCAGGAGTTTGGGAAAACTGCCAGTTTTCCCTATTTTCCCACGAGGGAAAGGTACTAGTGGTCTGAGTTTCCTCAACGCCTGAACTGGACGTGTGTGTGGATATGTGCAGAAATAGCGTTGAGTTTTCTCAACCGCACATCTCCACAAAAGCATCCAGATTCAGGCCTTGAGGAAACTCAATGCTGCTAGTGGGACCTGGCCCCGGGTTGTTATCTTGAGGTGTATTCTCGGGCCTCTGTCTCTCCTTTGGAATAAATTGACTTCCCCCCCCCCCCACAGAAAAAAAAAAAAGTACAAATGCGAGCCGGAATGGCAAACAGGGGTTGGAGCGGCTCTTGTTTAGCCTGCGCTGTTGCGAGGCTCATGCCTATGAATGCATATGCCTCAGAAAGTGGTAAGATGCATCCATTGCTACTGATACCACCCATGGTGTGGGGGCCCTGCGCAGCCAGGACGGCGTAGGAACCACCGAGCTCATACCCTGCATACAAACCAGTCCCGTCTCACCTTGCAGGTGGAGACTATATGCCCTCAGTAGTCCCTTGGTAGAACGCGGGCCCGTACCTGTCCAACTTTATAGGCTGGCTACATTTCGAACATAGAGCCAGCAGTATCCATTTGAGCCACTGGCGCAGCGCAATGATGGCACCGACGGGACGTCGATCCCGGTGAAGAACGTCGAAATTTGACCCGCCAGGAAACAAGTTTCTACTCTGTTTTATTCCACAGCCTTTACCTACGCCCTTTTTTTTTTTTTTTTTTTTTTTTTTTTTTTTTTTTTTTTT